CCCCCCCCCCCGCAAAAAACATCTGGTACAAGCGGAGGCGGCAAAAAAAAGCGGAGAGCTAATAAGTCGGGACTGAGCGGGCTTGTCTACTAGAGGGTTGTGGGGCATCTCGAAACATTTTATGAGCACGTCGACCGCGGCATGGCTATCCTAGCCTCGGCAAGCACGGCCCGTTCGTACGTCATCTTGGGGATGTACGGACGCGCCATGCTTGCCGAGGCTAGGGGTAGCCAAGACGCCTTCGACATGTACATCAAATTTTCACAGATGTGCCGCATTGTGCGTGGCTTGGGCATTCAACACGACTCCATGGTCTTCCCGTTCTCGCCCGCGATGGCAGCACGACCCACGTGAGAGCCGAAACAATTGGTACTACCCCGAAGAGGCGCAGAGATGGTACCCCCTAGGCCAATGCTCCAAGCTCGATTGCCCAAAAATCAAGGTTGTGCCAATAGCAAATTATGGCGTTTTTCGAGGCACCTCATCGAGGGCTTTCCGCTCACGTATCGGACTCTTTCCGCTGACACACTTGAGTGCGGAGGAATCGACCTTCGAAAGCAGGTCTAGGGGGGGTGCCATCTCTCCGTTTCTTGTGGTATGTGTCCGGCGGTTACGAACGCTGTTCCGGAAGCGGGGCCGTAATGGTGATGGAGAGTACAAAATGCAACGAATAACGTCAGTAGGGGTTACATGCAATCACAGAAAGGCTCCTGTACCCTTTGGGGATGATACCAGAAAAGCGATGTGTTCGATGTGTTCAAGTCTTGTAGGTGACTGCGAGAAACCGGCATGGTACTGGGCTCATGTTGAGTCTACAAAAGCCAGTCATACTCAGTTCCCTCCATGATGACAGCTGGTTCTGGTCACAAAACCATCTGCATCTACAAAGTTACCGCAGGAAGTGCTTGAATCCACCACCCCCTCCCGTTGACCACCGCCGGGAGTACCCCTCCACAACTAACCATGACGCAAGAACCGTTTATCGATCTGGTTCTCGCTGAGAACCGTCTTTGGTTCTCCCTCCTCCTACGCCTACCTTGGCGGTGAAGAGTTGGGCTGCCACGTCCGCGTACTTGGTGCCCACCGTGCAGACGCAGGAGGTCATGATGCTCCTCTCCATGGGCGTGTAAGAATCCCCGTCGTCCACGATGCGGTAAGCCTTCTGGTACGGCCGCAGGTTCGTCTCGCGGAACCAGAATGGCACTGCGTCATCGTCATCACCGAAGTGGCGGCAGCAGCAGAGGCAGCGGCAGCAGTGTTGGGCGGCGCGAAGAGGGGGCAAGCAGCCGAGCAATCATCGTTGTCGTTGGGGCTGCTGTTGTGTTTAGTAGAGACTCCATGTTTGATCCGAGCACCCAAAGCAAGACGAGGGCGGTACGACAATGGGGGGCTGCTAGAAAGCGACATACTGGTATCACTTGGAGGCCTATCTTTTTAGGTATAACGATCATAAATGAGAAGGGGGTGGTCCGTACTTCGTTCCCCTCCTACCCCCCCTTCCCCCCCCGGAGTATTCAGACTGGAAGAATCATCTACGACTACATCCTCCATCGCGGATCGATGGATACATGCAACTGTTGCGTTTCAGACATCTCGCACCCTGCTAAATGCTAACACAGACTGGCGACCGGTAGGAACCTCCGTGACAGCTGCACCTGCTGTTCTGGACGGGCGGAACAATGGTTTCTGTCTCCTCGCGTTGCCGAAGGGTGTTTTTCGAATCATGATTCCAAGGACCTTGGTTTTCATTGGTCAGTTAGCGAGGCCGATGCAACATGGAGAGACACACATACACTCAGTGAGCGTTCGTATATTTTTCATCCTGCTCCAAAACAAGACTGCCGTCTTTTAATTGGTTGCAGCGAAACAAAAAAAAACACCGCAAAAGACGCTTCACCTCTGCGTCGGTAGACCTCTCGGCAGAAGGTGGCGTGGTACCAGGCCAGCAGGTCGTTGTTCTGGTTAGCCTTGGCGTGCAGGTACCACCGCCGCCGGTCCGCCCTTTGCCTGCCGTCGTTGGCCTGCCGCACGGCGCCGCACCACCGAGTCCAGCACCTCTCGATCTGACGCGTCGCCGCCCCCGACAGAAGCCGCTTCAGCTTCACGGCCTGGGTGGGCAGCGCGTGCGTACGTGTGTGTGTAGGAGCAATCAGGAAACGGCAGAAAATGGGTGTCGGAAAAATGAAAACATGTGTGTGGGGTGTCGATGTTTTCGGGGAAGGAGGGTGTGTGTGTGTGTGTGTGTGTGCTTTCGTACGTACCGCTGTGATGCGAGGAAACGAGGAAACCAAGGGCGGCGGTTCGCTGGTTTATCCCTCCACTGATGCATATCCAGGACAGGGATTATTCCCGTGAAGGCAATTGCTGCAGGCGAGAGAAGCCCTCAACATCACATAGAAGCACCGGTCGCCCCGGTGGTCTAGTGGGTAGCCTCGCAGCCTGCTAAGGGCCAGGTCATGGGTTCGAGTCCCGGCAGAGAGAGTTTTTTTCTCACTAAATAAATCCTGGTCTAGGATGAAAGCGACGCGCTGCAAAGCTCGTTTGTTAGTAAACCATAATCGACTTCGTAAGTCGCGAGGGAAGGGATTGCTGTACCCTTCTCGCGATAAAAATACCTCAGGCATGAACCGCAGGAGGGGGTCCAACCCCCCCCTCCTATGTGACCCCGGTTGGGTCGTCTAGCTAGTAGAAGTGGAGGATAGGGGCCAGAGGGGCAGACGACAGAGTCCAATGATGGGAGAAAAAAAAAAAAAAAACTCGACTACCAAATGAATGCGGTGCAGTGACCTGCTGCTGCCCCAAAAATAGGGGGAAGCTCTGCTGTTGTGCGCATGCATACTCGCGTCGATTTCGGGGGTCGCCTTCCTCCACCACGACGAAAACCGACGGTGCCGGCACCGATGTGTGATCTGATCTGATCTGGGATCTGGAGATACCTGAATGGCAGTTGGCTCTTTAGGACACTGATCAGTCTCCGATGTAGGGCACGGAGTGAAGAAAAAAAAGTGCCCTTCGTGGGTGCGACTGTATAGGAGAATCGAACTCACATGCCAGCACCACCAGGAGACTGCAACAGGAGACTGCAACGTGTGAACATGGCTCTGTATCTCGCTCGCAAAAAAACACACTCATTCAAGATTTGCAACGGAAACATACCAAACATATATCCCCATCTAAGCAGGAAGGGCACACGAGTCAGCCCTTCAAATCGGATGTAGCGCCGGCGGAGCCCCGCAAGCAAGCAAAGGGACCAAGATCCAGCAGACTATTTGGAACCTCGCTCTCAAGTGCGCCCGTTCAAGAGAGTCGTTCATTGATGTGCTACCTACTGCTGACTCTCATGTTAGCCTCCCAACTGAGGCAGCTTTGCCTCAGAAGTGCAACAGAGAGCAATCACGAGAGCATTTTTACCCGCAGACAGGTGCGCAGAAAAGACTGAAAATCAACGGCCCCGCAAATACAAGGTACTTCGAAGTATTGAATAAATTCTTGTGAACGATAAAATTTGAAGAAGTAACCCAACGGGGCGAGAAATAAATAGCTCGCCACAAGATCATGGACGGTCTTGGAGAAATCAGATCCTGCTGCCGAGGGCCGCTGATGCACGACTTCCGTTCCAACAGCAAGCAGGAGTTCCGCAGCAGCGTTTAGATATCACCCCGACAGCAGGAGAGCTCATCTCGTCACTGCATGAAATCGAGCATACTTCAACCAATCGTACTACTGACCAGCTCATACCTGAGTCTACAGTCACTGATAGTAGATAAACTCACCCCCAGCCGGCACGCCGCCGCCTGTAACTCATCCCTAGCCCTGTCGTACACCGCCAGCAGCCTCGCCATGGCTTGCTCCCTCCTCCGCCTCGCCTCCTGCTCGTGCTCCAGCACCAGACCCGCATCGCGATCTCGCCCAATCACCGACGCCCCTACGGTGCTAGCGCGCTCAAGACCACGATCAACACTCGCTGCCTTGTCGGCGCCGGCGGAACCGAAGGATACCCCGCGCCTGTGCAAGCCGAAGCTGGCTTGCAGGCGGCTGCTTCGCTCGGCAGAGGCGGCAGCGGCATCGGACGAAAACAGACGTTCCCTGAGACCGCCGCCGCGGTGTGATATTGCTGATGAAGGAGGGTCGGTCTGGAGAGGGGCGAAGAAAGAGCAGTCGGCAGCATCGTTGTCAAACCTCGAGAGTATTGCTGCCGCTTCCTCGTCGTCGCTGTCGGTGTCAGCGGCGGCAGTTGTTGTAGCTGTCGGCGCAGCAGGTGCGGTGTCGCTTGATCCCGCCTGCTCGCCTTCCCTACCTCCCTCTTCTATTTCTTGCTGTACAACATGTGGAGCCGCCGTGTTCCCTGTCTCTTCCCCAGCAGCGACATCATCGTCCCCTCCTCCCTGGAGGCCGTCCACTAGCATCTCCAGGGTGAGCATCACCAGGTCTCGCAATTCCCGCGATGCTGCAGCCAGTATAAGCTTGGACGGCCCTATTTCCCCCGCGCTACCCCACGACAGCACCAACGACGTATCGTGGTAGCTCCCGCCGCCGCCGCCGCCGCCCCTGCTCCTCTTGCGCCCCGCCTCCGCCCCCTCGCTCCCGTGATACTCGTGGCCTCGACGGATGCTCGTGACGCCCCTCAGGTCGAAGCCGAAGGTGTCACTGTCGAGCCAGGTGATCGCCAGCAACGGAGAGGTGATGCCTTCTCCTGATGCTCCTCCGCATGCGGTGGTGGTCCTGCTGCTCTGGTGTCTTTCTTCAAGCGGCTGATGCTGCTGCTGCTGCTGCTGCTGCTGCTGCTGCTGCTGGCGCCGGTCGAGCAGGCGCAGAGCCACGGGGACGGAGTAGCCCTCGAGCGTTATTTTCCTCATCGCCAGTCCCTCGGTCGAGAGCATGAGCTTGGCCAAGTGTAGCAAGCGCTCGTCATGAGCGGCGGAGGAAACGAGCCCTGCTGCTGCGGCATCATCGTCCGCTCCGATCGACTCTGCGGCTCTTTTTGCCGCAGCGTCCGCATCAGGCTCAGCGACAGCAGAAGAGGGGTGGGAAGGCCGGAACGGCAGGAGTGGTGGCTTACGGGGACGTGGGGATGGTCTCCTTGTTTCTTGCTTCATGGGTGGCTTGAGCTTCTGCCCCCCCTGCAACTGATGGCTTGAAGATGGCGATGCACGGGACGACGGTGGTGCGTCTGGCGTTTGTTCAAAAACCCAAGGTCCCATGAGGCAGGACACTCACTGCATACAGGCGTGATTTATGGGAAACGGTTGCAAGGCAGGGATGCAGCGCCACTAATCGAGCGCGATGTTACCCGAGCGCAACCGAACGCCCCTTCGTAAAGGCCAGCACTTACGGATGTATGAAATTTGTCCGTGCCAGAAGGGTGGTCAAATGGTTGGAGGTTGAACGGAATTGGTCGTTCGCGTGATGTGAGTGGGGATGGACGATCACGCTAAAAATAACCTATGTGTACAATAGGTTACCTATGTACAGGGCTACAGCGCTGCGGGCTGTGGGGCACTATTTATCGAAACGTCTTTCGTCTATCCGCCTAGCTCCGCATCTCGCACAAACGAAAACGACACAACGGCGCAATAGGACAGAGGGATGGGTACTGGGGGTCAGTGCACAAACAGCAGTACAGCCGTCGTACAAGACAAACGATAGTAAACGTTGTGTGTCGGCACATGTCGCACGTGAGCACGTTGCTGATTGTTCGTTTCTGACATGCATCGTACTACTACACTGAAGAAAATCGTGGAGCCGGGGGTTCAGATATCAGAACCATAAAGCTTTCCAGACCTCTCCCACCGACTCCGCGGTGCCCCCACACAGTCCCTGCAGTCCCTGCGTGCTGGGGCCGCCGCGTGCTCAAACAGGCTACCAGAGACAACGACAGTGGTCCAAGCAGCTGGCACTGCAATGACGAAGGCCCTTGTAGCATCGGCCCTCGTTCTGGCGCGATGGACGCCCTTCTGTACAGCCTTTGTTGCACCTGGAATGGGTGAGCGGAAGAGAGGGAGAGAGACGACGAGACTATAAGAGATACGTGTACACGCCGCACCCACACACATGCACCCAGCACACGTGTTTACTGCTCTCGCTGCTGCTGCTGCAGTCCACTGCTGCGAGAAACATGTGTGTAGCTCAGGCTGGACGTGATCGGTTCTCAGTTTATATCTAAGAATACTCGTGATATCTGGAAATAGTTTAGCACACCGGGTGCTCATGTCGAGTTGTCCGCGCTGTGCACCTCCTCAGGAGCCAGGGTTATCGCAAGCTTAACGGTTGGAGATCATCTTGGATATCTACTGCTTGCTTCTGCTGTGGCAGAAAACATGCGTCCCTTTAGGCATCCTGAGCAGGAGCAGAGCCAGTACAAGACCTGAGCTAAAATTGCTACTGTTGTGTCCCCGCAGATGGGCGGTATGCAGAGATGCAGACAGGGTGGTGTTGTGGTGTTGCGGCAGGTACACCCCTCCCTCTCAACATGCGACTCCGAAGCAGAATACGGAGCAGTACCATTTTGTCATCAATCGGAACCAAACGTGGGATGTCCTTGTGCGCTTTACGCCAACTACTGGATTCGCGGTAGCTGCGGAAGCAGTCGCAGCGTGTGGGAGATATTGTTTTTTTCAGCAACCGGACTGCTCTGTATTGTAAACCTTGAGTGCTTTGAACAAAACTACCGGTACTTGCTTTGCCGCAGCGGCTACAACAGCATCAGTGATAGCAGCAGCCCTGCCACGCAGAGGCCGCCGACCACTTGACCCTCTTATCGTCCAACATTTTCACGCCTGTAGAAGGCATTCGGCACGTGTCTCGCTGTGATCGTGGAGCACCCAGCTGAAGGGGGACAAGCAGATTGTTTGCTGACCTTTCGCCCTGCCAGGAAAGGCCGCGCGCTATTTGTACAATACAGTACAGTGCCGGCAAGTTTAAGGGCGATTTTTGCGACGGTCATAACTTTTGGCTAAATTCATAGATTTCGACGATTCTTTCACGTACAGTCGACCCCGCTTTAAGGACGCGCATGGTTTTTTCCCGAAAAAAAGCGCTCTTAACGCGGGGTTGCGTCCTTAAAACTCAGGGGACGATAGCTCACCATCCCCGGGGCCAATGGAGGCATGCTATACCTCAAACTACGCGTCTTTTGCTAAGGAAGGGTGTGGTACGAAATGTCAGCATCGCCGAGACGACTGGAAGCCGTTTGTTGACGTGGAACATATTTACAACACTTGAAATGAGATGTACAGCAGTCGGGGACGTGTTGAAAACAACTACAGTACACAAGTTTGTACTTGGCCAGCTTATGTACTTCATTGCCGGCAGCGGAAGGAGGAAAGCCAAGTAGACGTACCGTAAACGTCGGAGTTCCCCCCCCCTATAATAGTGGAGTTTTGCCCTCCCCTCGTTACGTTTTGGGCCTGGGAGCATGGTTTCTTTGGTTTAGCCCCGGGGTAGATCGTTTTCGACCAAAAAACTAAAACTCCCCCCGGGTACAGTCGAGGGACCCTTTTAGTGCCGGTTGAATAGTGCCAGATGCCCGGTATGGTGCCGGTAAAATCTCTGCACACAGGCGGAGCTCTCAATAGTGCCAGACCGGCACTAATTAAAGCATGCCCGATATAGTGCCGGTTCGGCACTGCTGTCACCCCCAATAGTGCCGGTACTCCGCACGCGCGAAACACACACACGCACAACCCAGGGCAGAAAACATAGACTCCACACACAGAAATAGGGTACACGTGCTGCTGCAGACCCGAACAGCTCTACACAGGGGCGTACCATGCCCTGTGCGGAAGGTGAACTGTGCCAACTACAGGACACCACGCCGCAAGACCCTCATGGTCACGGCTGCCAGGGAGGATGTGGCGGGCGACTGCACGGCATTTGCGGCAGTGTGGTTGATGTAGGCAACGAGAATCACCGCATCTGCAGCGCGTGCGTCGCCAAAGCCGGCAAGCGCAAAGTGTCAGCAGCAGACAGCACTGGGAAGGCACAATCTAAACGTCCGAAGGCCACGAATGGGGGGAGTAACAAGTCTCAGCCTCGTGCGCGGCCAGATTTCAGCGCCAAGTGTGAGATGCTGAAGCTGATGGATCAG